AGTCCACAGGGGGGTGTTTATTCTTCAGGGAAACCTTTTTTTTTTCTTTTCTTGTTTTCATTCTTATTCAACTGATTATGAAGGCTATTCAGTTATTATGGATAATCCCCTTTACCTACAGTCAACTAGCTGTAAATGTTAACCACATCTACAAATACCCAGACAGCAGCACATTGGTCAGTGGTGTGAAGGGTAGAGTAACTGAGGACTATGGCCTAGCCAAGCTGAAACATAAAACCAACTATAATGGCAGTAAAAAAGGAAAAAATGTAATTAAGAATAGATGGGATAAACAGAAAACAAAATGACACAATGAAATCTCACCTAGTAATTATCAAATTCCATGTAAAAAGTCTAAACACACTAATTAGAAGGCAGATATTGTCACACTGGCTATAAAATAAGACCAGACTATAAGTTGCCCATATATAAAAAATCAGATATAAGTTGAAAGTGAGAAGAAGGAAAATGTCCATCATGCACTTTCCAAGAACAAGAAAGCTAGAGAGGCTGTATTAATCTAAGGTAAACATGCTTCAAGAAAAAGAGTATTAGCAGAGATAAAAAGGGACAACTCATAATGGTGTTAATTCATCAAGAAAACATATCAATCCTAAATACTTAATCAAATAACAGAGCTTAAAAATAAAAATAGAACTGAAAAGAGAAATACATATATCCACAATTACAATCAATTACTCTAAAAGTCTTCTTGCAAAACTGATAAAATAGATAATAAATAAGGACATAAAATACTTGAACAATAGTAACAGTAAACATGATCTGATTGATATAGAATATACACCAAAAACCTGCCAAGTAAACATTTTTTTTTTGCATAGACACAACAGTCCCTAGGAAATTTTTAAGGATAGAACTTTTACAAGAATATATTCTCAGACTACAACATAATTAAATTAAAAATCAATAAATACAAACTAATTAGAAAGTCCCTAAAATAGTATATTAAACAATATAGTTCAAGCTGTGTCATGTATCAAAGCTGAATTCACCAAGGAAATCAGAAAACATTTTTGCTGAATCTAAATGAAAAGGCCAAAAAAATAAAATGTGTGGAATTCAGCAAAAACAGTGTTAAGAAAATTTAGTTTCATAAATCAACTAAGAAGAAAGGTTCAAATTCAATGAACTGAACTTTCACCTTATGAAACTCAAAGAAAATGATAATCTAATAAATGGAAGAAATATTTTTAAAATGAACACACAAATCAGTTAAAGAGTAAGTATATGTATCCATTCCCCCATTGATGGTCTCAGGTTGTTTCTGGTACTGGGCTATTACAAATAATGCTGCAATGTACATGGGGGTACAGATCTATGAGAAAGTGATTTCATTTCCTTTGGATATATCCCCAGAAGTGGCATTGCTGGATCTTACAGTAGTTCAATTTCTAATTTTTGAGGAACCACCAAACTGTTTTCAAGGGAAGATAGCACCTTTCATATTAAAGCTTTCCATACTTTTTGAATTTTTAATCACACACATTTACTGTCATGTTAAAATGATGTTCTTTGTATGGGATATAATAGGCTGTTTTTGCTTTTAGCCCATATTTTACTATATTTCAAAGCTAGTAAATATTATTAAAATATAAATAACAGGAGAAGCACAGAGTCACTTCAGCAAAACAGATATTTATTTCTAAATCAATAACTAGTGAAAAATGTTCACAGCAAAAAATGTCAAACTAATTTATAAGACTAGACCTTCAATTCCCACAAATATAAGACATTTGAAATGAATTGAAATCACTAGAAAATATCATTAAATTGGGAAAAAACATCAGTTTTCAAGATCTCAAAGCATATAATGTAAAGTATACCTGCCTATGCAGTTGTCAGAGGTAGTTACCGTGTTGCCTGCTATGTTTCACTGTAATTTCAAAAGAGCTCATCTACCTGCCTGATGCACATTTCCCTTTACTCCTTTGAATAAAAATAATTATAAAAATGGTTTGGCATTTGCAATTATGTACCTTCTTTAAAGATTCACTTCATGGAGTTAATTTCTGAACAAGGTGGTTTCTTAAAGGAGGAAACTAAATAGGCGCTCTGGGTCTGTAACAACTGATTGTGGGGCCCTGACCATATGTTTAGTATTCCTGCACATTGTTCTATAAATCTGAACACCTTCTCTGTGCCAAGAACCGGGGTCAGTTTTCTAGTTTTCCTAATACAGAAACACTCTCAGTTCTATCCATGTAACATATATAATTTAGTTTTATAACCTTCCAGCTTAATGCACATTTCCTCACATTCAATTAGAAATAACACAAACAGTATACTAGACTTGGATTTTAAAAAATCAACTATTTTCTTGGTAGCTCTGCTTGCTGTTTTGTATCTGTGTTCTAGATATTTAAGACAGAAGTACACAGAACTTGCTCCTTTCCTCTCTGAGATCCTGGGAGGATTCTGCAGATCCTATGCATAAACCACTTCACCTCATTCAGAAGAAGAGGGCCTTATAAAGAGAGAAACATTGTTATTATTATTTTCCTTGTAGTACAAAACATGTAAGTTTTGTTTCCCAGAGGAATCAGTCATTCCCATTTTCTATGCAAAGGGTGAATGAATGACAGTTGAGCAGGAGTGCAGGGAAGTTCTATCAGTATATACTGTTCTGAGTGATCATAGAATTATAGTTTTGCTGCATTTTCCCAGTTTAAAGCTAACACTACTAAATTCCATACAACTGATAATCACTCTTTTGCAGGATGCAAATTCAAATGATATTATACAGTGAAATTATATTTTGAAAAGAGTTTTGCTGCATAACTAGTTTACTTTCAGTGTGGCTGGCAGACACACGACATTTTTGATTTTCCTCTGCAAGGGTAAGAAATACAGCTTTTAACATTAAGTCTGACAAGAATGTGAAAGGTTAGAAAGGGCGACCTAGGACTCTTCCTCTCCCCTCTGTCACTTACTGCACACTAAACAAATCTCATCAGCGTAAATAAAACACGCATCAAAAGCAAGGGACTTCAGATATAAAAATAAATGAGCTGTAAAGGGAGCTTTTTGTGCAGAATATGTGATTTCCACATGGTTCCCAAATGCCCAAACTGTTTAAAAAATGTAATGGCATCTTAATGAAAGTAGGAATCAACTTGAATAGCAACACTCAAGACCCCCAAAGCAATAGTCACAAATGTCCAGCATATTAATACACAGTATGTGAAATTTATGCATCACCGAGCTTTCCCTGATTTTGTTTATATGCCTTTCGGTTTAAAACTTATAATATTGACTGATACTATAATGCTATGGGAAAGGATTTTTTTGATTCCTAGATTATCCATTATATTTGGATTAAAAAGCAAGTAGCATTTTGTCATCAGGTGGTGGTGTTCCTCCATAAACAGGAGATACGGAAGAGAAAGCAGAAAGAAACAGGAAAGAAAAAAGGGGGGGTGGGGGGAGGGATTGCATTAGTGCATTGTTTAACATGTTTCTAAGAGAATAAAGAAACCTGCTCTTAGGACATCTCATTTGAACCACAGAACATAAATTCTTCCCAATCAAATCTATCTTAATATTCACTTGTCCTGTCTCAAAGTCCGAAGACAGAGAAGGGTTGTTGAAACTTCCGTTGACTTTCTGTTAGAAATCTAATAGATTCCTGAGGTTTATGCATACTAGACTACTTGGTTAAAAGTCTAGCAGACAATAATAACTACCATAATTGAGATGTTCTAAGTTGGTGCTTCTTATAGTTTAGCTTCCTAGGAATCGCCTGGAGGGCTTGGTAAAGCAACACCCTTGGGGGCCAGGTTGGGTTTAGACAAGCATCTGTGTTTCCATAAAGCTCCACAGTGTGCTAAACTGCCAGAGACCCTGACTGGCTCGGCTCTTGCCATCATTTGGCAGTACTCACCTCCATGTAGAGTAAATGAATACTTATGTTAAGTTCTATCCTATTTCTAAAAACCCAGATAGATTCAGCCTACACATTTCTAGCAAAACTATTTTCCTTTATAGGTATCAAAGCCAAAAACTATTTATTTTACAGGTTCACAATTCTAACCAACTGTCTCAGCCTAATAAGGTCTTTAGACAGTAGGTTAATGGGCTTCATCATAAAGATGACCTTTATAAAAAGTGGGAAAAATATCCAGTGTTATATAAAATATTAGCCCTACGGTCACCAATGGTCATAGCTGTATCTCTGTATTTAAATTTGTTAAATATGTCCTTTGTAAGGAAAGCAGAACATGCATCCTTATTAGATTGGAGAGATATGGATGGGGGTCAGGATTCGGCATACTCAAAAGGTCTCAAAATCTAACCTAAGGATTGCTATAATTTTAAAGGGTCTACTCTGAAATTACTATATGAACATTGATGTTTATCCACCACAGCAGACTGGGTCCAATCAGGAGCTACAATAGGATTAACAGGGGCATTTAACACAATAGATGATTGTCTATAAGAAGAGTAATTATGAGGTACAAAGAAACGCTATAAAGGGAGGGTACCCAAGGAAGGATGAATCAGAACTCTAGAGAAGGAATGGTGCAGCCACCAGATAGCAGAGAAATTCACTGGTTTGGCCAGGCCAGAGCTGCTCTGGAGTTCTGGGCAAGCAAGCACTCTCCAGAATGCAGAGAATCAGCAACTGGGGTGAGCACACAGAGGAAGTGTGGGTGCTGGTGGGGAAAGGAGGCCTTCCGAGTGCACAGGCCATACAGGGAGCAGCTGTGAGCAGGCGGCACCGTGCTGGAGGAGAAAGACCAGGACAGGGTGTCTTCAGAGCACATGCTGTGCAGGCGCTTGGATTTCTGTGCCCAGAGGGCTAGAGAAAGGTTATCACCTCCCGGCCAACCCCAGGAAGTCCGACCAAGACCACATCCCTCCTGAGTCTGCGCTGGGACAGAGTCCCTCTGTTAATTCACATACTCATACTCTCTCTTTCCTCTTCAACATCTCTTCTTGGGGATGAACATCATTTACTTTTCCTAATCCAAACATAGAATCTAATCTGGGAATTATAAAAATAACATCTCCTTTCCTGGAACACTTTCTGTCAAAGTAATGACCTTTCAAACCAAATGACATATAAACGAAATCAGAGAAAGCTTAGTGATACATGCATATAATTAATATGCTGGATGTTTGTGACTATTAATTTGAGGAGACTTGAGTGTTGTCATTCAAGTTGATTGCTGATTACTGTATTGGTTATCTCCATCTTCCATAGTTTTCTATTCTTTTTATTTCTATTCTTATTTTTATTGTTTCCTTCCTTCTACTTCCTTAGGTAAATTTACTATTTTTTGAGCTTCTTAAGGTACAAACTCAGAAGCTTAGACACTGATTTCAAACTTCTCTCCTAAAGTAAGTATCCAAAGCACAAATTTTCCTCAAAATATTGCTTTTGCTGCAACCCCCAAATTTTAATAGGTTGTATTTTCTTTTTCATTCAGTTTCAAATAGCTTCTAATTTCCCTTGTAATTTCCTCTTTGACTCATGAGTTGTTTAGAAGTATTCTGTAAACTTTCTAAATATTTGGGGTTTTCCAGATATATTTTTTTTATTCCTATTTTATTTTGTGTTGTTAGAGAATATACTGAGTGATTTCCATTCTTTTAGATTTATTGAGACTTTTATGGACAAGCATATGGTCTGTCTTGGTTAACATTCCATGTATAATTGAAAGTAATTGTATTCTGCAGTGGCTGGATGCACAATTCTATAAATGTTAATTATGTTCAATTGGGTAATAGTGTCATTTAAGTATTGTACTTACTTCCTGATTTTCTCTCTACTTTTTCTATTACTAACACAGACATATGAAATTACCAGCTTTACTTGTGGCTTTATCTATTTCTCCTTTCAGGTTTGCAAGTGTTTGCTTCATCTGTTTTAAATCTTTCACATTTTGGGCCTACACTTTTAGGCTTATTATGTTTTTTGATTAGTTTATTATTTTGTCATTGAGAAATACCACCTTTATCTTTGGTAATATTTCTTATATTAATGTCAACTTTGTTTGATATTAATATAGGAACTTTGGCTTTCTTATTCCTAGAGTTTACATGGTATATACTTTCTTATCCCTTTACTTTTAAATTATCTGTGTATAATTAAAGTGTGTTTCTTACAGAAAGTATACAGTTGAGAATTGCCTTGTTTTATCCTTTCTGGGGGTCACTGCCTTACAATTGTCATTTTTTGGTGTATTTACATTTAATATAATTATTGATATAGGTGGCATTAAGTCTATGTACCTTTACAGTCAGTTTTCTATTTATCTCATAGGTTCTTTATTTTGTTTTCTTTTTGTTTCCTTCAATCATTTGGATTGAAAATTTGGGGTATTAAATTATATCTTTCTTCAGCTTTCACTTAATTATCTCTAAATAGGTATTCTATTAGCAAATATGTATCTTTAATTTATCACAGTCTCTAATCTCATTATTTTTGCTATTACGGTCATGAATTTTACTCCTCCCTATATTACAAACCCCATACACATTGCTCTGATTTTGCTTTAAAGGAAAATACATTTAAAATTTTTAAGGAAATTATTTTAAATGAAAATATAATAAATTCTTTTATATTTACCAACATGTTTACCACTGTATGTTTAGCTCTACTTCTTTGTCATACCTGAGTTCTCTATGGAATTTCCTGAGTTCCTAACATGATCTCTTCATTCTGATTGACCAGACTCACTGGTCTCTTAGCCTTGTTCCAGCCCTGGTAAGTATTCAGTTTCAAGATCTCTCATGGTGGTTCTTCCCTATTTTTCATTCTTTTCAAGGTCCTGTGGAATCTTACTCTTGACTTGCACAGTTCAGTACTCAAAGACTCAAGGAGTTCCCTGTGTAGATTTCTGGAGTTCCTTTTCTGTATAGTTTCAACAAAAACTGAAAACCAAACTCCAATCTGCTGAAAAGAAAAAATACCTTAGATTTATTTAAATCTAATTGATACCCACAGAATATATACCTTACTTTCTTTGTCCTTTTTTCTAAATTTTTTTATAACACCACAAATAGATACAGGGGTATGAATTAGGTTATGGCAGTAATACAGGTGATAAACTGTAGCAGCTTATAGTATGGTGACAGTGGAGGAGATGAAAAGTGGTTGGCTTTGGAGTATTATTTTAAAGGTATTTCAGAATTAGATTAGGTTGGATTATAATAGGAGAGAAGATACAGATAACTCCAAGTTGGTAGAATTCTGTTGTCATGTACTGAAGGGTAGCATCATGGAAGGAGCAAATTTGGAACATAGAAACCATGAGTTTGACACTGGAAAACTTAAGGGTACTACTTCAAACACCTAAATATAAATATAACAAATCAGGTACGTCAATGTAAACTTCAGGAAAAAGATCAGCGCTGGAAATACAAATTGAGATCTGTCAATGTACACATAGTATTTAAGGACATGAAATAGGATGAGGTCACCTGACAAAGCTTATATAAATAGACCAAAAAGTGGTCTAACGGCTGACCACATAAATATTTAGGGAGTAGAGAGGTAAGAGCAAAGGAGACTAAGAAGGAGTATCCAGTTATATAAGAAGAAAAATGAAAGAATAATGTCCTGCAAGACATCTGAGGAAAGTGTTTTAAAAAGAAAAATGGATCAAATGGGCTGAATACCATTGCTTGACTGCTGTGAGGTGATATGGCCACTGGATTTGGCAATTCAGACTTACAGATGGCAATGAAAAGATCTGTTTCAGTGGAGTTGGTTGAGGAAAGTCCACCTGAAACAGATTCAGGAGGAAACGTAAACAAAAGATGCAGAGGCAGGTAATGAGGAGTTCTGCTATAAAGTTCTGAGGAGTTCTGCTATAAAGAGCAGCATGGAACTAGAGTGGGAGCTGGAAAACAGAGATATAGCAGAAACAGTGTCCTGGAAAAATAAGGGGCAAGGAATGGGATCCAAAGAAAAGGTGGGGGCAATGATTTAAGCAGCACTTTAATAATTTAATAGGAAAGAAGGAGGTGAAATACAAATACATTAAATGGGTAAATGTGATGGTAAAGGTGTTTTTTCTTATACTCAGCACTACTTTTGCAATGTTAGGGGGGAAAAGGAAATAATTTTAAAGTTTTCAGGAGTACCACATGAAGAAGGGAGATTCTAACTAAACACATGACCCTCAAAGATCCAAAGAATGAAATATCACCACCTGCTAGATTTTGCAATCACATCCCTACAACTTAAAACACACTGTTGGCTTCTGGTAGGAATCCTTAAACTGTTTTACGTTCTGAAGTGACTTTAACTTTGAAATATTTAAAAACTGAAATGGAAATATCGTTTTAGATATTCTTCTGAGTGACCTTTAATATATCATGGAAAAGGCAATTAATGCAATGTGTGTGGGTCCTTTAAAAACAATTAGTAATCATAATAGAGTCATCATGTAGTGGAACACTTTGCCTGATTTCAAGAAATTTATAAAGTTTGGTAACAGTGGGAAGACTTCTTCTCCCCACATACATTGGCAGAGAATAAAAAAGGAGGCTAAGAAATTCCCCAACCACTTCCCGGTATAATTTCTGAAGGTGAATTCAAGAATTAAGGAAAAGGAAAGAGAACACAGATTCCCTGTCAGTAATGAAACTGAGATAAGTGATGTCGAAGGAGACCTGGATGAAACAAGTCTGTCTCCTGTTTCCTCTCTGCTAGGGTGAATGGGTTAACATGAAGACGTAGGTCAAGACAGAAGATGATAAACAATCATAATTAGATATGCATTTGATATATTTTCTTTACTTTGATTCTGTTTAAATGGAATAAATAATGATTCATAATATATTCACAGAGTGGATTTTTGCTGCTAGCTGTTAATTCCCGGAGGAACCAACTAGTGATGATAGCACAGCCCACAAAGTTGCCAGTTCTCTATTTGCTGCTTTCTTCAGGATTTTGCTCTTAATTAATTAATTCAAAATAAAAGTGCACATCCCAAGGATTTGTTTTCATCATATATATCCATAAGACATTCATTTCATAATTTGTATTTGGGAAAGAATTGCCTTGTGTGTGTGGCGAATTACACAAAGGTAAGTGCAATTAAACACAGAGCGCGCATTCTTATGACAGCATATGTTCAGGGACCGGGGACCAACAAGCTCCCAGAAGTGAACAAAGCCTCCAGGATAACACGGAATGGGCAGGTCCCACACAACAGCAAATGGAGCAGGGACTTAGCATTTTGCCTAAGAACCAGTTGTAAAGAATAATTAGTCTATAAAGAGCCACTTGCCATACATCAGACATACTTAAAACAAAGCTAAAAAATAGCTTTCCCATGTCTCACCTCAATAACAGGAAAATAATGATCTACATATGCAAAGAGAATAAGATTTGAACTATCCAGAAAGCTCAAGCTAGTAATACATTTGTAGAAACAGTTTTAGCTGGATGATTGCTCCAGTTCTTTAACATGACTGGAAACCAGATTTTTAAAAAAATTTCATTGCAAACCAGTATGAAATTAATGATAAGGGCAACATCAGCAATGACCCAGTTCCTCACTACAAGGCCACCATGCAGTCTCCAGTTGCTACCCCATGATCTTTTCACCTAGTTTTCTACTCTGTAAGTCACTTTGAAATAGATTTTTTTCCCTATCTTGCAAATATTCTGTGTTCTTCTAGAAAGATTGCCTAAAGCAAATAGCAATCATAGAAAAAAGCAAGTCCATTCATGATAAATTTTGTCTGCACTTATCAGTTTTAATTTTTGCCTCTAAAGTTGGAAAACAATAATTTCATTTTTTTAATAATCACCACCTCCATGGGGTTTGATTCCAATGTGTATCTACAACTGGACTTTTTTCCCCCTGAATTCTTTTATCTCATGCTATAATTAGTGATATCCACAATAATATTTATCTTGTCCAAAGGGTGACCTAAATCTTTCACTTAATCTATTATAGTATATATTCATGTGTACATGTTATGTATGAGTCTATGCTTTATTGAAAAATTAGGATATTGATAGAATATTTCTGGCACTAAAAATCACAATTTCTTCTAAAAAGTGTAAAATTTCCCAATAGAACCTCTGACATTTCAAGGATATTTATATTAACTGACATAGAACCTTCCTATTTAAAATTGATTTTGTATTTTCCTTCCATTGACCCAGAAGCACTATTTCCCTGTAATTCTCCTAAATACGTACCCTGCAAGGTTTATTGTGACCAGAGTCCATGCTCTTTATTTTTCTCAGATCAAATAAAAGACTGTATCTATCAAAAGCTAGGAAAACCAAAGAGAGAAGAGAGATAACACAAAGGAAATCTCGAAATGTTCAGTGAATTCTATAAAAACATGGCTTAGAGCCAAAACCAAACAATTTGGTTTTTATCTGATGATTATGTTGGAGGGGAAATTTCTGGAACTAAACTAATGGGTTGACTCAGTACAGAAATTAATAAAAGTAAATAGATATCCCAAATTTGTCTGAGATACAAATTTATTTTCACTGTACATTTTTCAGCTTCAAGTAAGCTCCACAATAGGTGCCAGGCCAATCAAAACACACTCTCTTGAACAGCTAGTTCTTAAAATAGAAACTCACTTACTAGAAAAGTGTATCCTGCATCATGTTCCCTACCTCTTCAGTAAAAAGAATCAGATATTTCCTATTGATGGGGTTCCAAAGGCTTATGGGTTCCATTAATGCAGATAATAAAAACGGACAATAGAAAAGAAAAAAATCTCTTCTAAACTTAGTCAAGATGCCCGATCATCACTGAGGGCTTGACATTATTTTCTAAGGAAGGCCCCAAATCAGAGAATATTAGGTTTAGTAGTATTAAAGAAAAAAATTATTCTTACACATGTTAAAATGATAAAGAAGACTTTATTCAGGACTATTGCAACTGCAGCCAAGACTATTGTAATAGAAGAGAGTGATCTGCTCAGTTCTAAATACAACAAAGATAGAGGATTCATGACCAAGGAAAAGAGTGAGGGAGTCAGTAGATAGAAATTATTAAGTGGGAACATCAGTGGTAAGGGGAGTCTGCTAGGTGAAAACAGGGTTCTTGCTGAAGGTAGGTCAAGGATTTACACATCAAAGATGGGCATGAGGAACTTGATCAGATACCAGGGTTCATCTCCTATCAGCAGTGGGGGGATTCTTGCTAACTGATTTAGCAGAATTCTTGCAAAGAGTAGGCAATGCAGGTGTGGCAAGGATGGGACAGACCCAGAGGCCAAAGCTGAGAAGAGAGCTCAGAGGAGTCTAACTAAAGTCTTGTCAGGAGAGTCTTTGTCAGCACTATGATGTAGAAACTCCAAACTGACAGTGGCCTAAACAAATACAGCTTGATTTCTCTTTAATTGCAGCTTAAGGCTAAAATAATGCCCCATGACTTTAGGAAAACAAGCTAGTCCTAGCTTTTTGCTAGAAAAACACATCCTTAAGACAAGGCTTACAACTCAAGGTTCAAAACGGCCAACTAAAAATACAAGTTATCTGCTCCTCTGACAAAGAACATGCAAGAGGCTGCAAGGGTCATCTCTGCTCCATGTATTGCTAGCTTAGATAGTTCTGCTCTTGCTGGTCCATTCAATATGGTCTCACCTACTCACCTTGGGGGGCTCCGTACTAGCTTTTGATTGAAGCAGCCTTGTCATTCTTCAGGGGCCTTCCTTGTGAGCTCTCATTCCCTAGGGCTTATCTCTCTCCACACAGGCTCCACACAGGATACCTTGGGGTTCTTCACACAAAGGCTGGTTTCCAAAAAATAAATATGGAAACTGTAATGTCTCTTAACGTGAGTGCCAAAAGTCATACTATGTCATGTCTACTATATTCTTTTTGTCAAGGGAAGTCATGGCCAGCCTGGACTCAAGAGGACAGGAATGGACTCCCTTGCTAGATGGGAAGAATATTACATGGCAATAAAAGGAATTGTTTGCAGCCATCTTTGCAGATAATCCATCATAGTTAATCATAAGACCTCCAAAGTTTGTGCACTCAAATCCAAATAGTAAATTTGGATTTTTTTTTTGACATAAGTTTTTGACATTATTAAAAAAAAATTTATTATGCCAAGCCCTAGGATTAGTTCATAAAGTTCTCCTGCTGTTAATTCATGCTGTTTCTATTTGCATGAATGCTTTGTATGTGTTTTTGACTCCTGGCCACAGATTTACCATCAGAAAGTAAGACACAATCTTTTTCCTAAGTAATAGAAAATCATGAAAATTTTACACAAAGAAGTGCCCAATTTTAACTCTTCTAGAGAATGTTGCTTAATACCTGTATTTCATATTTTATAAAGACTGAGAGAGGGAGTTGTGTTTCATGTCAAGAGGAAAGAAGCCACCGTCAATCTTGGTCATCAAACATCAGTATTTGAAAGTTATCTCTGTCTTACTTGCTGCCTAAACCCCAGTTCACTATTTGTCCAGCCCTGTCAAGTTTACCTCGAATACATCTCTGATATTGATACCTTCTTTTTCAGTGTCCCTGCAAAAATGAGTGCAAATAACATGACCTCTTACCTGTTACTGACATGGTCTCCTAACCAGTTTTCCTATCATCCAGCTTCCTCTTCTCCAGACCATTCTTCTCACAAACACAAGATTACTCTGCTTAAATATCTCACTGATCACATCAATTACTTGACTCAAAGCCTTTAATGGTCCCCTGTAGGGGAAATAGCTTACATTCACCATATTTTAAGCCCAGAGAATTACAAATACTAAGATTCACATCATTCAACTCAGACAATTTATGTCAGGAAACCACAAATGATAAAATATTTATTAATACTTAAGGGTGTGAGCTAGATGGATAGGGAGGTGTTAATTAACATACTATGACATCACTGAACTAAAGCTAATTAACTCAACCTACATCAAAGCACTTTGGATATGCTTCTGATGTTGGGAATATAGGTAAAGGTAAAATCATTTAAAAAAGTGTTTAAAAAATAAGATGAATTGATTCAAGGAGATTAATATCAAATCAAAAAGCAGGACCTTGATTTGTCAACATAGCTCTTACTGCTGCTACCTCTCAAATCCAAACCATCTCCTACATGTCTCCTCTCATTCTTTTCAGCCAGTACTATGGTTCCTTTGAAACTTCTTCTCCTAGATGTAAATTATAAAGGAAACATAGAATCTCAAAGTATTCCCCTACATAGACAAGAAAGTAGGATGGGTCCTCATATGTTCATTTGCATGGGTTTTGCCATCATGTTTTTCTTTCGTCTTACTCTTCATTGAATTTTCTACTGCCATTAGACTGGTTATTTGAAATGTCGTCAAGCAGAATTAAAAGAAAGTCGGAGAGAATGGCAGGATAGAAGAACAAGAGACTCCCTGCACCCACCCCTGTAGGCTAATGCTTAGGGAAGGACGTGACTCCAGGAAGTTGGATAAACTAGAAACGTAACAGGTGTGGATCTGGTAATCTAGTACAGCCGAACACACTTCCAAAAGCCTCCTTTGCACTGTTCTGCTAGAGCTGGCAACAAACATGCCTTTTCCTTTTCTGGAATTATAAATTTTAAAGCTTGAGCTGCAGACAGCCCTCTCTCCTGAGGGTGTAGATTTAATCCTTTAAAGAAGAAGATGAAGCCAAGCAGAAAAACTAAGGTAAGAGATGGAGAGAAAACCCAAAAAACATTGTATTAGCTCTTTCAATCAGCCATACCATATGTGGGCTAGTTCACCTCACTGACTTTTCATTGTAATGAATAAAACTTCCTTTCACTTTGTTTTTTAATTGAAGTTCGTTTGGCTATCTCTTATAGTTGAAATAATTCTGATGAATAGTAGAATAAAAAAGATACCTTGGCTTATTGTGGTAAGTTTGTGTGTATTGTAACTCCAGGGGGAAAATATTGCCATTTTACCCACAATACATTGAGTAAATCAAGAAGATATAATGAGCTGTTTTAGATTTGTATTTCATTGTTGGACTATGTTTCATTAACAGTGGCACTGCTACGAGAGTGGGTCTTGTGGATTAAGGTCTTAATAGTTTCAAAGATGTGGTCTAGTTGTTAAAGCATAAAACTTTTACTTGTTACATGCTATTATGAAATTTATTAAACTCTAAGCATTATTATTTTTGTGTGTAAAATGGTGTTAATAACAGTTTTTACTCCATTATATTTTGTAAAAATTAAATGTGATAATGAATGAAAATGCCCCTGGAAATAAAATAATGAACATTAATTATTACTAATATTGTCATTATTTTCAATTTAATTTTAATGTTTTACTGATATTCATCATGGATAAATAGGCCAGTAATAACAGCAATTGCAAGATTTGTAGTATAAAGAGTAATCAAATTTTCAACATTGATCTACAAATGTAATAATTACAAATGTTAAAGAATTTTTAAGGGAAAAATTATGACATGCAAATATAAAATGTACACAAATAAAATGTATCATGTTATAACAAGGGAAGCAGTAAGAAGTAAAAACAAAAAGCAAATGATTCACAGGAGAAATTAAAGAACAGACACATATGCAATAAAGAAAGTGAAATGGGTTCATCAAATGGAACAATGTTCAATATACATATAAGGCAATAAAAAGTTGCATCTCCATCAGAAAAAAAATTGAACTGCATTTCTACAGACAGGAATCATTTGCATTACTATTGATTTCTACAATTTATAAATGTGTAAAACATCTCAAAGACAATTAAAGGCACAGGTCCATATACTATCTGATAACTCCAGAAGGACCCACCAGACAATGGCTAACATTTTTTTGAAAAGATACTAAAGGATCTTTTTGCCCATTTCAAAGTTGGCCACAGTTTTTTTTCTAAGTGTTTAGAGAAATTTCACCTTATCAGTTCCTGGGGAGTAACTGCTATGATAGCCCTAACCATCTTTGAACTTTGTACCTCCTGTTTTTTATTCTGAAGTTCACCCTATTTTTGAAACATTAAGAAAAGCAATGCTGATTCTCATAATGACTTCTGAAAATGAAAGGTTTCTCTTTGTTTATAATGGATAGATGCCTGTCAGAGGACCAGGAGGCAGGGTAATACAAGTGGCACTGTTAATACCTCAATTCGTGTTTTCCCTTTGGAGCATTTCTTTCATTTCTACACCCAAAACAAAAAGTACAAATTGTTTAGTATGATCAAGTCCTCTGCAACTGGCCCTACTTACATTTCCAATCTCATCTGCCACTGGTCTCTCTTCCTTACGATTCTGTCAAACTCACACGATCTCTGTTCACAGCCTGAGTGGATAACTCTCTTGTCTCTCGTCGTGATGTTCTTTCTTCAGGATGCCCTTTACATCACATGTGTAACCTGAGAGGGTTCTCTGGAATCTGACATTCTAGTTTAAAGTCCTGGTCCTGGTCCTGTCACTTGTTTTAGATTACTAACTTAAGCACTGTTACTCAGTTTACTTACTTGTAAATGAGCACAGTAACAATCCTTCATCAGAGAGTCGGTCTTATAATTAAATTAGACAAATCATATAAACCACTCCATAAAATCCCTGGCACCTAATAAATACTTATTAATTGTTAGCAGTCATCATCACCA